AGTCTGGTCCCGCTCGCTCCGGGTCCTCAGGGCTGAAGGTCTCCAACAACCTTGGAAGAAAAGGCTCCAGGTTACAACCTCCCGCAGCTGTTGGCTTCTCCCTTGAGAAAGCAGCTCCCGAAGTCTCTGTGTCCTCTGAGAGCTGGGCGCTGCTCCTGGAGAGCTGGGACCTCCAGCTTTGCTATCAAAGGCAGTGGGATTATCAAGCTTGCGTTGAAACTGCAGATGGAGTGTGTTCGAACCCGTTTCCACTCTCCTGAGACCTCTTGTACCTGCTTCAAGGCATCATATAAGTCTTCTTCCAGAGACTCAAAGCACAGATCAAGCTGGTAGCTTATCTGTGGTAAGCTCTACATCTTTTATCCCATGTTTGTTCTTTGGAGATTAAATTCGGTCTCAAAGGAAATTCATTTACTTTACATGTCTTTTCATTTAACCTAATTGAAATGGCATGGCAAGATACAAGACTTAAAAGCCTAATGTATGTGGTTAAGATCGGAGCCTCGGAGGGGCTGAGAGAAGGTTGCTTGCTTGGCCATGCTGCAAATATCAATCAGAAATTTGGGCTAAACAAGGCAAACAATTAGCCAGTCACCCTCTCACAGCTCTGAGGCACTTCAGAGACTAAGAGGCGAATGAATGGAGCTGAGTCCAAACTATCGCTCTTCCCAATAATCCTGGTTTCCTGAAATCCCAGGCGATGATATTTATCAGGTTTTCATTAAGAAAAGCAAGTGCTCCAAACCCTCTGTCATCAGGTGTGAGTGCCCCGCAAGTCACTAAGTTGGGAAACAAGGGTCCTTTCTCACTGTCCCTCCCAGTACTAGTAAATACCAAGTAGTAGAATTAGTGCAAGAGAAGATACATACATATAAAGAGAGAAATAGAGTAAGGAAACGTAGACAATAAATACATGTAGACTAATGGAGCCCTTACGTCTCAAGCCACAAACCCTGTTCCCTTCTCAACACAAACCTGTTGGTGTGGAGCACAGGAAAGCAAACCCTTACCCTGCAGCCCATGTTGGTGTGGGGAGCCCGCGGCTGCTGTGGGAGGTGATGTGCTCTGCAGCTCCCCGAGGATTTATGATTACCTCCTATCAGAAGAGGATGTGAGTGTCCCTTTTCCATGGAGATTTAATTGGAACCTCAAACAAGCTTCATTCAGCCCTGCAGCTCCCTCTGCGTCAGAGCAGGGCGGTGGGGTGGGCTGAGGGCGGCTGGGAGGAGAGAAGCAGGAGAGTTTATCTGCACAGAGGCACCCGATCTCCAGGCTTTCATCAGTGCTTATCTCTCCCCGAGCACCTTAACTCTTGCCTGGGTCTGAGCACACCGAACACACCACCCTGGGGCTGCTCATCCCTCTTCTCCATGAAGGAAATCTGCTCTGCCCCATTGGCGGGTGTTTATGGGGGCAGTGATTGGATCCACCTCTGGGCTGGTATTATTAAATGGCCCTGGGAAATTCATATACATAACAGTCTAGGTCTTGGACTATTCTCCAGGGTCTGATGGCCATTCTCTTGCTGGTTGTCCTCACTACAGCTGCCCTCATTCCAGCTGTTCCATCCTGGAGTAAAACCAGACAGGTTTCACCAATGAGACCTGCAGCACCCAGGGATTTTTGGTTAACTCCCCAACTCAGGGAGCACAAGTTGATGAAAGAGGGGTATCACATTGGCTGCTCTTCCCTGCTCCCTCTACACCCGTTTTTATGTCACCATAAGCCACACTGGGTTGAGCTGGTGAACTCTTTATGTCACTGGGTCTCATGGGCTGGCCCATGGGGTGCTGAGAAGCTGCCTTTGCCTAGTCCACAACATAGATCAGCATTTCCACAATGCTAAGAGTGATGATACGTGTTCGTAGTGGATGGAGATATTTGTAAGGCTGGAATGCACTGATCTGCCCCCTGGTTTTGGGGAGTTATGGGGGAATCTCACTCCCCTCTGGGTATCAACAGGTTGTGGTCCCTCCACATCTGAGTTCTGCCCTTGCCTCCTCCCCACAGAAGGATGCTGGCTCTTGTCCACAGCCTTTCCCTGCGCTGTTGTGCTGTCTGCTCTATCCCCAGGGACAAGGAGATATTTCTTGGATTAACAAGGCCAGTTTCTAATAAGTAAAGCTGCACGGAAAATTATATCCCTGCATAGGTGGGTACTGCAAATGCCATTTACAAGGTGATCTCTTTTCTTCCATCATTTCTGTTTTCTTAAACTTTTGACACTTTGCTCCATGATTTCTTTCTTTAAACTAGAACTGATCCCATCATTCATTCAGGATATGGAGATTTACCACAGAGAAAGAAAATAAATCCTCAGCATATTCTCCTTTTCTCTGTTGCTGTGTAAATCTGCCACTGAGGCCATTTGTCTGGCTTCTGCATGATCAAAACCCATTGCCAATAACGTGAGATGAGTACATCCTACCAAGGAATTCCCTGGGTGTGCATTAGAGCAGAAGTTGAAGCCTTTAAATATACTTCATGAGCTGAGAATTGGATGTCTGGGCCTGGAAATGACTTTCTCAATAGCCACAAAGTAGAGGGAGGATGAGCAATGCAGCACTGCCATCTACTGAGGGAGCTCAGAATTGGGTAGAAGAGAATTCATATTCTCCTTTTGGGGAGGAGAAGCATGTGGGACAGTTCTTGTTCTTGTTTTTGTTCTTGTTCTTGTTCTTGTTATTGTTATTGTTCTTCTTCTTCTTCTTGTTCTTCTTCTTGTTCTTCTTCTTGTTCTTGTTGTTGTTGTTGTTCTTGCTGTTGTTCTTCTTCTTCTTCTTTTTCTTGTTCTTCTTCTTCTTGTTCTTGTTCTTCTTGTTCTTCTTATTAGTCTTCTTCTTCTTCTTCTTATCATCATCATCATCACCACCATTTATTATTATTAATATGATGATCATTACTCTTTCTGTTTCTCCTTTCAATTTCTATTGTTACTGTTACCTTCTGTAGGCCCCAAGGTCAAGACATATCTCATGTGGCAGCTGAAGGACGTTGCAGTGTCATGTCTCTTGTTTCGCAGGAAGGATGGGAAAGCTTACTCATACGTGCTTTGGGAACACTTCATGAGTCTGCCAGCTTTTTCCAGGCAGTTCTTCCTGAGCTGTATTTTTCTTTACCATTATAAGTGTCTGTCAGGTTTTCTTCTATCAGGATGAAAAAAGAAATGAGCACCATTTTCTTTCTGGATAGACTGAGGTGGTAAAATAGAGTGAACATTTCTTCTGTAATGAGAAGTGTCGGAGAACTGATGGCCCAGCACAGGGTGTGGGCCTGAAACACCTCTGGCAGGAGCCCTCGTGCCAGCTCTGGAGCTGATGGTGATTCCTGTGGATTCAGCTTTCAGCAGGCATCAC